ACATGATGAGGTTAATAATATTATTGGAAAACGATTAAGATGACATCCGTCTGGGTATAGTCTAGGGGTAGGTATTTCATAAATTATTGCTCGTAACCACGCGAGGTAAATAATTTAAATATTAAAACCATTTCATTTATTATCAACAATAGTAATAAGTTTATCGTTTATATTATGACTTTATAAAATAATATAGATATATTAAAACAACTAGACAGTAATATGACAATTGAGTTTAGTTAATATTGAGTTAGTGTATATAGGAAGCCCAGAAGTTCGAATTTATATTTTGAGTAGCTTATTATGAAAAATGGTTAGTTTTAATTTTAATTTCTAAATTCGAACCTATAATAGTTAAATACAATCATTTAATAACTGCATATAAATATGGTTTAAATAATGAGATTAAATATAAAATGGATAACACGACGACAGTGGATAGTTTGGATAAAAAAATAAGAAACTTTCAAAAATGTAATTTTTCTTTTGAGTCTCAGATACAATAATATCTGTACAAGATTGCACCCCCTCTCTCCTCTCTCCGATGTATTAGCCGTGTGCAATTAGGATAAAAATATTCATATAAGGCATAAAGAAACCTGATAGTAGCTATATTTGGGGTCGAATTTTATCGACGAACTCATAAAATATTTGTTTATGCTCATAATGTAATTTATGGTAAATGATAATGAACGGAAGAAACAAACTGTTTTGTTTGAGGCTATCACATAATTTATGACGTAAACAAATATTTTATAAGTTAATTATTACATTTGTTTATTCTCCCCCAGTGATAACAGAATACCAAGAGTCCGCGGAAAAATCGAAATCATTTTTTGACCTACATTTGACGACCTACCTGTCGTGAGTTCGCATATAAAATCTAGGGTCATTTTCGATAAAGTAAGCGAACCGAGATTGCCGAAGGCCCTAGATGAATCAATATTGTATTATTTCAGGTTATGTTCAATGGTCTATTTCCATATCAGGCGTATGGGGGATTTGGGAGAATCAGACCATATCCCTCTTATAGTAGATATAATATGTTATACTGCATCATCTCTAGTGGTAATCTATCATATAAACGATCGGCTATCTTTGCAATATTGTTTATACGTTAGTATTATTTTTTCGATGGTCTATACGACAAAAATCGCCGTATTTGGCCAACATTCTATCCAGATATATTATATACACCAACTGCAATAATACTATACATATCTATATATATATATGCATAGTAATAAATAATAGTATGAAGTAACACAAAAGGGTATACACTTATATTATAGCGATCGACCGTATATTATAATATTACAAAAATGTACAAACAGGGCAGATGTGCAGACTATATGGGTTATTTCCACGTAGTATGACCGTTGTACGTACAAACAATAAATTACGATTGTACGTAATATCATTAACCGCACATACATTATTTAATATGTGGCATTAGTGTTCACAAATATTCGTTATGTGCTTTTTTTTACCCCTAACTCATTTTAGCCGTATCGTTGTAAAATATATTTTTTTTTATTATTATAATAAATATGCCTCTGCGGTTATACTATATTTTAATAGTAAACTATTGAAATTATTAAATTATTAGTCCAATAATAAATACATTTTGTAAACCTTATCCGTAATTTATAATTTATTATTATTATCAAAATATTGTCACCTATAAAGCTGTTTAAAGTTCAACGAAATTTAATTTCGCTTCAATATAATATTGCGATACACATAAATAAAATAATATAGGTTTAGGTAAATAATAATATTGATCAATTATTAGTTTTATAGGTTTAATTTAAAAATAAATGTATATAAAGATAAACTACCATAGATAAGTATATTAAACTTTCAGAATAATCGGGGTGGAGTCTGCACCTATGACCAATGACCACCTTTACAAATATTTGTTTTTAATATTCGATTAAATTTATCTAAGTTTATTGAAAAGAATTCAAAATTATACCACAATACATTATAAGTTTAAACTCACTTTAAATTTCTAAATTTTAAAAACATTATAAAATAAAAAATTAGTATCAATATTTAAAATTAGATTTATTCACCCTGTGGTCATTCTGCGCTATCTATCTATGTTGTTATAATAATTGGTAACACCCAGTAAATTAACCATAATAATAATCACAAAGCTGATCAAATTACAAAATTACTCTATTTACGAGGAAAATAAAAATGAGTGCCATATCAGGGATATTGAACATAAGTAGCAGACTCTCTCTTACATTTTTATAACATATTTTACCATTTTTTTTTTTTTTTCGATTATTACGTACTGATAAAATTTCTATTCAAATACACTTTAATAATAATAAAAAAAGCTTCACGGATATACGATCAATCTTAATTTCAATAGGTATACATTTTTTGAAAAACTTTATAATAATATTAATTAATTTTATTAATTCATTTTCAATCCGATACCAATTATTTTATAACTTACACATTTTCGATCGTTTGAAACTTACAAATAACGATAATAACGTAATGGATTTTATTTATTAATGATAGGTACCTAAACAAAATTGTAAAAAAAACCTACAGATAGCCTCGTACATTAATAATCACAACATATTTAATAAGCGAGTATGAAATAATTTATTTCAAAATAATTTTTGCACTTATCTAAATGATAATAACAGTATCGATTTTAATTAAAAAAGAAAAGACTAAATGTAATAATATATACTTTCTAACCAAAAACTATACGATATTCTACTGTAATATGATATTTTAATGTTCATTTTTATTTATGACTTAATTATTCTTTGCATATAAATCTTGACGAAATTCATAATTCATAATTCATTCACAATTCTTTTGCTTGTACCTTTCACAAAGTATATCGGACCGTTTTTTAATGAATAACCAGTATGTCCATTTCCCTCCTCTCTTAAAAAAAGCTTCAACTCTAGGAAGACCCAATCATCCCTATTTATTGTACAGTATACATTTACTCTGCTATTCCCCCTTCTCGTTTGTAACATTTGTAAACAAATTTTTTATACATAAATAATAACATTATTTTTCAAAAGCGTTTCTAATTCGTCCAACTATGAGCACAATAGACGCACATCATTTCAACAAAATTGCTCTAATTATATTATATTATGCATTGTACTTAAATCGTATACATTTACTAGGATTAGGCTTTTTACGAGTCAAATTATTTTAGTCAAAAGGCCATATTTTTTCACCGATCAATAAGGATTAAAATTATATTTGTAAAATAATTACATGTTTTTCATTTTAAAATGCATTCTATTATTTTTACTAAAACTTGCTAGATTATTTCAAATAAAATTAGAAAAATGATAAAAAGTGTTTATTATAAATTAATGAGTAATAAATTATTCATTCATTTCAGCTTTTAAGTAAGCCTAAAAGAACAAAATACTTGAATAGTTAATGTTTTGAAAAAAAAATAATCTATAATAATATCAGACGTATTATAATTTATAATACTGAAAATTAAATTAAGTCCTTCCTCTATGGACTTGAGAAATATTATTTTAGTATATTTAATATTTTTATCATACAAATTCTATGTTTTCCATAATTTTTAAGTTTATAACTATTTTAAGCTGGTCTACACAAAGAACTGTACCGTAACACAGAAAGCAAAAATTTAATTATAATTTTTTTTCTTATTAAATGCCAAATAATTTAATTATTATATAGGTACCTATTATACGAATACTTACCTATGATACGAATAGTTTAGGAATTAATTATAAAGATGGTCATGAATAATGAATTTGTTAATTAAAAATAATATATATTACGCTTATGAGGCAGCGCCGGCTCACTTTGACTCGTCTGGCTAGCCGCCACCGTTATACGGCCGTGGGGACGGAGCGCGTTTGCATTGTGATGACACACACACACACACACACACACACACACACACAAGCGCAAAAACACACCCTTTAAACGTTTTTCCCGTCAAATATATCGGTCAGGGGGATGCCCGGAAATCACGCGCGCCACGTCGTCGGCCGGCAGCGTAACGCGTCAGACATAAGCGCCGTACAAAACACGTAACACCATAGAGTATATTGTGATTTGTGTATGTAAATTGTAACTGGCGATAGTTAATAATAAACGATAGTGGCTCGGCAGAAAAGCAGGAATGGCGTTTTTTCTAAGGATCTACGATTCACGATAAAAAATTTAAAAAATGTCTAATAGTAGTAGAGTAGTAGTAGTAGTAGTAATAGTAGTAGTAGTAGTAGTAGTAGTAGTAGTAGTAATATTAGTAGTAATAGTAGTAGGGTGGTGGTAGTAGTAATTTGCGGGCCACGCTTCGAACCGAACGGCGCGGCGGTTCCGACCGGCGTTGTCGCCCAGAGTCTACTCCAGTCGACGACGAACCGTCGGTCCAGACGCATTTTATTCGACAAGTATCACCAGCTACCAGCGGCCGGTGAGTAACGTAATCTTTTAATATTATTATTTTTATTTTAGCGTATTAATAAATAATAGCTCGTAGTGCACATGTTTTTAAATTCTCAACCCTCTGCGGCTGTAGGATTTTCGCGAATTTGATGGTCCAAGGAAGCCTTTTTTTTCTGGAAAGGAGAGATTCGTGTACAAATTAATAAAAAAAAAAATGCTGATACTGATGGACGTGCTACTATTGTAGGTGGTAAGTTGAAAAGATAGTTAAGATACACATTAACGTCATTTAATTTATATGTGTAAGTAACAATATAAACTACCACGATTCTGAGCGAAATTTAATTATACATGTTTTAAAACATCGTAGTTCTTACGATTTTTATCAAAATTTGATTTTTCAACTTTTGAAACTTTCAAATACCTCTTAAGTCTAAATAGCTCAAAAGTCACCAGAATGTTTTAAAAATCTTACCGCATCTATAAAACGCTAATATAAGTATTCTGTGAGAATCGCATGTCTCAACGTTTATTTAAACCGAATTACAAGAACTAAAAAAAAAATCAAAAATATTGAAACTGTTAATGCCGTAACCTCTCCCATTTTACCTAAATTTTTCACGGTCTATCATAATTATTCAGAAAACTACAAGAAAAACCAAAATCGACCTACTCTTACAGCTCTCTCACCAGCTAGATTTAAATTATTAATTCGTATTGCATTTTCTTGATCTACAAGAGTAAATATTGTATAATTTATTAAAACAAAATCAAGAAGGTAATAAACTAAAAATCACCCTGAAAGTCAAATTCATTTATTCGTTTAATTTATATCGATTAAATAGGTTGTAAGTACATAAAAGTATAATATATATATATATATATTATATACCTACCTAAAGTCTTTCAATATTTATCAACATTTATTTAATAATTAATATCATGATGGTTTATGCCTAATTGAATAATACCATCATAAATGTCAAATAAACTTTCATTTTTTTGTTAATATAATTATGCATCGAAAATACAGAATATTTAAGAATGTCGAAGTGCTGTTCGAATTTAACAAATAATTCTTCGCAACGTATATTTATAATATAATACCAACAGAAAATTATAATTTTTACTTTTCGAATTACTATGTTCAACGTTCAGTTTTACTATCGTTATAAGATGGAACTCTTTCAGCATCTTTACTAAAAAGCAGCTTTTACAAAAAAATCAAAATATATTATTATTCCGAACTTCGTATTAGATAGTATATGTATAATTCTCCTGCAATTGGTGCGCCTAAGAAATCATTGGGAGGGGATGTAGGTAGTAAATAATAAAATCACGAATAAATCGCCAAATATTTGTTTATGCCTAATCTAAAAATGGTAATTTAAAAGTCGAGTTAAAAAAAAGCCGACCTTTACTATTTCAATAAATCAAGCTTTTCCTTATTGTAACTTGACTGTAATAAAATATAAATTTATGATTAAATTAAGAAATAAATATTCATAGTTATTTTATTTCTAAGCCGATGAGAGGGGATATAACAGCTTACCTTCTTATCCCTGCGCATGCCACTGTTCCCCTGTTATGTGTCAGAATTAATTAATTATATATATATATAGTTTTATTTGTTTTAAATTATAATAATATTATAATTCTAAATTAGGTACCTATATGCAATAGATTAGGTTAAGTTAAACTAGCCTAACCTAATATTATTCAACTAAACAAGTTGATATTTTTGATATTTAAAATTTTATTAGCGAATAAATATATTAAAGATTAAAATAAATCATATTTTTATTTTTCGCAAAATTTAATTTTTGTTAAATTGTAAAATTTGATATTATTGTTTAACCTGCAAGTATGTCGGATCATTTTGACATCGCTAAAACGATTCGTTAATTTTATAATGAGAGTGTGATTACAAATTTCACAAAACAAAAATGTTTTAGTGTAGGTATACGTATTATCTATATTCAAAGATAATATATTTGTGTATACGTGAGTAAGATTTTTTCTGTTGTATGTGGAAATTTATGAGCTTAACAAGAGATGCTTTGTCTATTAGTATAATATACATCTAATAAAATTATTTCAGTTTAGTATAAAGATAACATATTGGAACTATTTTAATTTAATTGTTATCAGCTGCTACAGTATAATAATATATTGGAAGGTCTCGTCTATGAAACTTTTCATTATGTTCCTATAATGAATATTTTTTTAATTTTAATTTTAATTTTTTTTTTCCCCACTGTCGAATCTATAGTAATATAAACTGGAGCATATTAATAATTATTAAACATTTTATTATAAATCTCTTCTGGATAATTTGGAAACGATAGTTAGATATACAATTATAATATTTAATGTTATAGACTTATACACTTACAGGTTACAATTTATTAGACATAAAGTGGTTAAAAATATAAAAGAGTCATTTGGTAGGAGATTTGGAGGTAAATATAATAATTTAAAATATATATTATTTCTCCTTCTTTGAAAAATGAAAACTACAATGTAAGAGATACTTTTAGGAAACTTTTTTTTTCATTTTTTTATAAGTAAATAGATATTTTCAATATATATATTAAATATATAATTATGATAATTCAAATTATTCAATTACATTTTTCTTAATTTTTAGTCTTCTATATTTATGATTTAATTTTATTAAAACCGTTAATTTATACAATTTACTTTATTTATATACACCTTACAGACATTTAATGCAATTAAATGTTTCTTTCTTAATTATATTTGTTTAGAAATTTATAAATTTGGTAGAGTCGATGAGTGTGTATAATGTATTTATTTTTTAATTTGTCTTTAGTTTAAATTGAAAAAGTACAGCGTATTACATGCTTAATAATACACCTAACTTGAAAGAACGATTTAAAATTTATTGGCGAACAACAAAAGTCCCTGTTTTCGAATGGTTTGTTTTTTATTATTTCTAAATAAAGAGCGCTTTTATTATTAAAATATTACAGATGTCAAAAGACTATTATTATTATTATTTTGTTATATAATAATAGATTGATACATTTCAAAAAATGTATACAAATATAAATTCAGTTGAAAATTATTAAACAAGTTAGATATTTTGAGACTCATTATTTAATTAAAATTTTTAATAAAAACTAATAAATTAACGAAGTACCCATATAATTATTAGTGTAGGTCTTCTTGTAAAATATTAAATATTTTATTATTAAGGATAGTCCGTTTCTTTTAATACCTATATTATTTTATTTTTTCTGTTTACCTTTAATTTTTATTTTATCTTCATTTCTCTTTAGTTTGTGATTGCGTTTGAAACTCGAGAATCTAGAGAAGTAAAATAAATTAAAGTAGTCAAGTTTTCGCGTGTTTTCAAGGCTTCTTAAAAGAACAGGTATAAAATTAAATTTGTTTATATATTTATAATTTTATTTTTTTTATCCATTACGCGTTTGTATATACAATAGCTGTTTAAGATAACTTTGTTATTTTTTATTACTTTTTATTACTCTTCTTGGAAAATTCGCCTAATTCAACTTTTCCCAAACGGGTTTTAAACCAATTTAACATTTTCTTCATACAGCACTATATATTTTAATCTGCCATCAAACAAGTTGTAGAAGCTTCGCGTTTTTATTTATTTTAATATTATGTCGAAATATTTCGGAAAATATATTTACCGTTTTTATTATAATATTATAATATTTTCGTCATTCGTGAGTATCCCAGAATTGCAGTGACAGATCTTGAGTTTGGGAACAGTGGGTCAGCTATTTTTGAGAGACCACTTTTAGGGCCAATAATTAGGACCGATGGTATACCCAGGATTTTTTAAGAAAGAAGGGTCTGAATAACATTATTAAAGTTCATCTCGGTATGGCTGGTATGAATATATATTATAGACATAAGTACTATTCTGAATAGTTTAAAAAGGATTTTATTCCTTGAAGAAAAATAATTGTCCTTAGTCTCGTTTTAAAGTGTTTAATGCTTAACTTTAAGATGTATATTTTATTTTTTTGGAAAACACTTTTTTCGCGGGTAGTACACAGTTTTCAGAATAAATTATTAAGTAATAAATAAAATTATAAGAAATCGTAACCATATCGGTCTGCACGGATACCAAAGTTAAGAAAAAAAAAGTTGAATTAAAAATGTATTTACACCAATAACGCAGAAAAATATATTGTTTCAAATTATGTATTCATGATAACTGGTTTTGTGCAAAACCATGTCGGGTAGGTAACAACGAAAAATGAAAAGCATTATAGGTGAAAGTACCTTTAATTATTGGCATAACACTACAAATTATTTATTATATCTGTATTGGTATTAGGTACTTATTGATAAACAGTTAAACTGGGAGATAACTGTCAGTTAAGCCCTATACTATTAGTCAAAAGCACGAATTAAGATATATAGAATACACAACGAGAGTGTTATCAATAAATAATTATTATATTAGGTATTAGGTACTTATCAATTATCGCAAAAATACGGTTATGGAAAAATACTAAATACCAAAATATGGTACTATGATACTTTAGGAGAGATCGGTTGGTAGTTATGAATAAACCATACAGAAATTTAAAATAAATGTTTTGTATAAATTGAAAATATTGAAATATTATGACTGGCCTCTTATCAATTTTTTGAATACAGTAACTCTCCATTTTTTCGCATCTTTTTTGTTTAAGCATTATTTAAAAAGATGCGGACAATTTTCACCTGGGGTATACTTGATTTAAACAATTTTTTCGAAATTTCGAATAGATAAATTATAATTCATATTGTTCAATGATATTATCTATTATCACATTTGTGAAAATAAAAACATATTGTGTATATATATATTAAATATATAATATCTATAGTTCCTTTAAGTCACCTGAACGAAACTTTACATTTTGTTAAATAATATTCTTAAAATATTAATATTATAAAGCATTCGAATACATATTCTGAATAGTATTTTTTGTATGTATTAGACTATTAATTCTGAATACTTTCAAAAAAAAATTTACTTAGGTCTAACTATATATTATTATATACAATATAGTTCAACTTCGATCGTATACAATTTTCTCGATATGCAGAATTAAAGTCCGTACCTAAAATATTAACAATCTTTTTGTCAGGAGTTCAACGTTTAACCAATTGGGGGAGGGAGGGCTTAAAGTAGGTACTAATTTATTGATTTGTTTTTATTATTAAGTTATAAATATAACATTGTATCAATTCTGCGAACGCACTCCACCACACACATCACTGTAGAATCATAAAAAAATAATAAATAATAAATAGGACATGTCGGTAGGTAATTAGATTTAGATGTTCTTTTATTTTCTTTATTTTAGCTCAGAAACAATGTAACTATTTTTAAGGGCAATGAGGAAATATCCACGACAAAAAACACCTAGTAGAATAAAGATACGATTTTAATAATACATACATATATATATATATAATATTACTATCTCTCTGATTTTATGTGTAAAAAATGTAGTTTTTTTTAGGACTAATTTTACCAACAAACTGTATGCTAGACGACCCCTAACTAATCTGTACCTATCCATAAAATAAATTAATTCTTATTATTTTTCGTGTTCGGCCAGTGTTTAGTATTGAATCAATTTCTAAGAATACCCGTTGCCAGTAAATGAATGTAAAAATTCATCTATGCGGTGTATGTCATAATAAATTATTGACTTATTATTATCCCGTAATATTTATTTCTCGCATTTCTTATTGCGGTATTAATATTCATCAAATACAATATGATTAATTTCTTATCTGTGCAAAAACGTAATATAATTAGTTTAGAGAGAATGCAGAGAATTTG